TCTGAGGAACTTCAGCGACACAAGTCCTTTCTTAATAAAACTGGTTTATTCTTTCTGAATATAACTTTACCGATACACTTATTTTCAACAGTCGCTCTATAACAAACGCTATAACAACGAACGTTAACTTCAACAATACTTTCTGACTGCAGTTCAATTACTCACTACCTACACACATTGTCCGGTCACGTTGTGAATGTCTTATATATATACCAGACTAACATATATCTAGTAAATGCTAGGGCATTCACGAAGAAACAGGATATTTCTAGAAAATAGGTGGCGTGACACTAGTCACGTGACCTCGCTGACGCAACAACACGTTGCCACATCCTCTCTCTCTACAATAACCCTACACAGTGGCGACGCTAGAGGAGGGAAGTTCACCCAACTTTTTTTGCTCCCTACCCAAATTTAATAATATACATGGAGCAAATGTAATGTGTATAACAATAAAATATGTTTGCACGCGCAGTACGTTTTGCAGAATGTTTTATTTTTACTTTTTTTATTTACACTTGTACATTAGAAGTCAACCAGATATATTCTACAATAATAGGTATTCCCTTTAAGCCTACTTGTTATACTAATGGTACTACTGCACTAAATACTTATTTATTTAATTAAATAATGCTCTAAAGAACACAGAATAATAACATGTAAAAAGCAGAATATGTCCCATAATTATCACAAATTTTCTGGCTTTCTAACTGTATCACAAACGTTATAAATTAAGCAAAGCTGTTCGATATGTTTCTCATGGGAACAGAAGTAAAACTAAAACTACACATTTTTTATTGAGAAAAAAGAAAGTAGAACAAAACGCTATTTGAACAGCAGAACCCTTTGTTTTCTATTGGTTATACATAATATAGGATTAAAAGTCAGATAAAACTATTGGCAAGTTCTGAAATGGAGGATTGACAAGTGGTCATGGTAAGAGTTGTCTTATTTTTTATTTCATAACTCTGTAACTAATTAAGATTGAAGGTTATAAATAGTATGCTTTGCCTGAGCGATGACAATGTTATACTGCCCCCAGTAAAAGGGTTCAAAAGAGACCTGGACCTACCTTTCTCAGAAACGTTAATAAATAAGGTGTTCAGACCAGTTTTGTGGTAAGCAGTTGTGACAAGCACGGGCTTGTTGTGTATTAAGCTATCTTTGGTGCTTTTACTTTGCGCCTCAGTACTTGCTGCGAGGTTGTTCTTCAAGTTTCTAGGTCAAGAGGTCGCAGGTATGTTTAAACGATACATTTTACTGTTGTTCATTATTACATGAAGTTGGTGTTCTGCATACATGTGTAGTCACATTAAGTTTTACTATTGAGAAAATGGATATCAGACAATTTTGTAAAAACCCGCATAAATCACAGGATTCCCGGGACCATGAATCTGTCAAGGAGACAGGTGAACCAATCAAGAAGCACTGATGATCAAACAGTCGTACCTGAAGACCCAACAGAGGGTAGACTACTGAACTAAAGAGGCAGTATAGATACATTTGGGAATTACAAGAGCCGAGCAGCAGCAGTAGAAATTCAACTTTGCCTAGGCCGACTCTTGGGGTAGGTGGTCTGGCTGATATATCCCAAACACCCGACAATGGACCAATTCTAAGTGAGCCCTTCTGTTTTCCAAAGACTCGTGGACGAAAATTCATACCTGAATGATATAAAGCATATCCTTGGCTTGAATATTCCACAACTACTGACCAAGTTTACTGATTTGTCTGTCGTCATTTTACTATCAAGGTGAGCATACTTTTGTGTTTTACATGGAAAAAGTGCACAGGTGAATCTCCAAAAAACAATAAACTTCTCACATACAAGCAGTCTTATACACATTTGAACAACGCATGCAAGTATAATGCTTATTTAGAATCAAAGCTTTCTGAGAAAAAAGTAGTGGACCACCTTAATGAAGCTCACCAGCTGACTGTGAGAAAAAAAAAAGGAATACATAAAAATACTTGCAGATAGGTTGAGACTTACATCTGTCCAAAACATAGCTCAGAGGGGTCATTTTAAAGGAGACACAACTGGAAATAATAGAAACTTTTCGGAAATATTAAACTTTTAATTTTCAGCAAATGTTTTCAGAAATTACTTGGCAGTGTGGATTTTTACTATTTTGGTGCTTTATAAATTATTTACATATAAAGTTTTGACCAAATTCTGCCAATGGACAAATTTGTTTTTAATATTCCTTCTTACAGTTTTTATTGTTAAAAAGCCAAATGCATATACAAATATTTTGTCATTTGACATAAAGCTTGTTTACATACCAGATCTCTGACTATTCTTGAGAATGGTACACAACAGTTACTTGTTTTCTTTAACCCTTCATAATTTGGAGATAACAGAAGAAAATGTGGTGATTATTTATGACATTGGTAAGAGCAGTCAACAAAAATCACAGCCTGGTGATTAGGGCACTCCACCTGCAAACTGTGTGTCATAGGATTGAAACCCATCACTGAAGGTATCACCCTTTCAGCAGTGGGAGAATTCTAATATGATTATCAATCCCACAATTCATTGGTAAAAAGTAATCTAAGAGTTGGTGGTGATGACTAGCTGACTTTCCTCCAATCCAGTGCTTCTCAACCTTTTCCAATATCATTCCCTCCTATATGTTTTTCACAACAACTTACTCACCCCAGTTCGAAAAAAAAAGACAAAAAAGTACTAAATTAAAATGCAAAATTATTTATTATGACTTAAATATATATCAAACTACAACTAGAATGAATAATAATAACCAGACTTTTTTGCTCTTGAATTTGTTGTATAATTGTTAATACTCATTCACCCTGATTCTGATCTTATTAAACCCTGGGTGAATCATTCACCCAGTTGAGAAGCACTGCTCTAATCACTTCAAAATATTGAGCTTATAGTCCTCAAGTAGCTCTGAATGGAATTGAACAAGCAAAAGAAGTCTGCAAAATGCCTTAGTCTTTTTTAAATCTCATAATAATGTTTTTCTTCAGACAAATTATGCTATAGGTTGATGAAATAAAATTAGATAGTTCTGTAGTGGTGATTTACTACAGTTGATCGCTATCGTTCCTTTAAATCATCCAATGAAAACAGTTTTAACTGAAGTTCATCTTTCAAGATGAAATTGAAAAATATAATTAAGAGGCAAATACAAGACAAATAAATATTTGTTGTGTTCTTTAAAATGTTTGATCATCTAATTTCAAAGGAATTATTTATTGAAAGCTGTAAAAAAGTTATTTAATGGTGTACTATTTGTGTACCAATTTGTATACTCTACATTTAATTAATCCAATTATCTATTGTATTTTGCACAAACTTGTATTTAGCCAGACACTAGTTTAATACATAACCTTAATATTTAGATTTAGTTTCATGTTCATAATTGTGAAAAATTCACTTTTGTTTTTCAGAATTTATGTTTTCACTGAGCCAGTTCTGTTTATTGATTTTTAACATTATAGTTTAATGAATAGAAAATAACAGAACTGTGTATATTTGTTTAGGTGCATGATATTTGGAATTTACAGTTTGTGTCTGTGTTCAAAATATTATATAGATTTACTTTATCAGGGAATTTTTTCATCTGTTTATTGTTCATAATATGATGCATTTATTTGGTTTTGTAAATGAGTCATTCTGTATGATACATGGTACTTTTTTAAAGTCACTAATGTAACCTCTATTTCATGAGATTTTTCAAAATTATTTTTAAAATAAAAATATGGTGGGTGCTTATCCATCAATGCTTCTTTGTCATTCCTCATTTTGTCTTCTTACAAATTATGGTTACCCAATGCTTTAAGTTTTACTTTTAGTAAAATAATTATTATTTAGCTAGTGGGGAAAAGAAAAAAATACAGTAAATGGTACAAACTGACAGAAGACTTGAAATTAAAGGTAACTTGTTTTGACACATTTATGTGTCCTCTTCAGTGTTATGAAACTGAGGAGAACACACAAATGTGTCAAACCATATTTCTATAGTTTCAAGTCTTCTGATACTTTGTTTCATTTACTGTAGTTTTTCACTAACTTTCTAACTGTTACACACAATATTGTGTTTTAAGTATTATGTTGTTTTTTTCCCACTTTTTTGTAATGAGAAGTTCTGACCAACATCTTCCACCTAGTTAAACAAATATTGGTCAAATGTTATTTCTATTGAAAGTTATATGCCCTTTTTCTGTTGACCTTCTCATCTTTCTATCAGTAAAGAAAATCTTAATTTTAAGTTATGTTTTTTTAAAACTCTTGGCTAAAATTTTATAATAAGAAAACTTCTTTTATCTCATTCTGTAATAATATCTTGTCACAAAACTTGTTTCCTGTTAAATGTAAAAGAATCTTAACTTCTTTCTTTTGAGATCTTCATTCATGTTGGAATTAGTAAATTTTAAGACTTTCTGTAATGAAAGGAAAAATTTGTTTCTCTCTTGTTTGTTTTCATTCAGGGTTTATTACGTGGAGTCATAGATTGTCTTTGTGTGGGAAGGTAGAATTACTGAAACTATGGCTTTACCATTTATTAAAGGCTTATGTAAAAGAAATTATCTGCTTTCAAATGGTTTACAACCTCTAAAATATCATATGAACTAGTTGGTTGTATTTATTGTTTCATTTACTAAATAGCTGAAAAAGTTATTGAGAAAACATTAAAGATCTATATCTAGATGAGAGTGTTTACCTTTAATAAAAATATATTCTACTAAGGACATTATGTTTCTTCATTTTAAAGTTTAGTGTGTAAAGAGCTTGCAAATTATTAACACTGTATCGTATAGTAAAGTTACATTTCGTTATTACTTCTAGCTTGTATCTTTTAGATTTTTCCACCAACTAAAAATATAAATAAAGCAGTTTAATGAATTAATTTATGATATAAAACTATCCAAAGACATTTAATCTTTGTAGATATATTTATAGAAAATGAAAAAAAAGCAAATGACAAGCTTTGTTCTGTCTTTCATGATAAATAAAAATGAATTTTTATGACTCCATTTCTGATGTGCTCTTTATTGACAATTAGAGATGAACAACAACAACATATGTTTCACATAGCTGCTACAAGTTTAAGACAACATGGACACAGAAATAACACAGCTTGAAGAGTATCTGTTAAGATTACAGAATTTTACATGTATATGATTAATTTGTCTAACCACAGGTTTATGCCTTTACAGAAACATATATATTTCAAAATTCCAAACTGAAAGATATTCAGTTTTAAAAACATTTTATTTCAACCTAATGAAAGGTTGAAGCACTGTAATGTCCCAAAAGATGTAATAAGCACATTCTGTTTAACAGGGAGACAAAATACAAGTCTTTACCAGTTTAATCTTTTCTTTATTTCTAGCATAGCACTTTTTAAAACACATGGGCCACCAAACCAGTAATGTCATATTGGAATTTTAGCCTGCAAATATATTTAATATCACAATTGAAAATATGCTTTATAATAATAAAATGACATGGAAGGGTAGTTAATTCAAAGAATAACACAGCCATTTTTAAAAATTAGGACTAGAAGAGAACTGAATTCAAGCTTGTATCTATATACTCAGTTGAACTATATATTTCAAAGAAATGGCTGATGGCATGAAATCAAAATTTAATTATGTGCTTATCATTTCAACAGTGTAATGCTCATTTAGAAGCAACTGCATAAAACTAAGAATTGTAGTGTTAAACATCACCAATGTTGAATTTATACGCAGGTAATTTTCAGTTTATGTACACAATTACCCACATACTGTGAACATTAAATATATCAGATGAAACATAGTTTAAATCCAATTATTACACTTTTTAACACCACACAAAATGGTTAGAGAATTCACTATTTTGCTTTGTTTTAATTCCCCCCCCCCCAAAAAAAATCTTACAATCCCAATAAAACTAAATATTTCTTCATCTTTTTGTATAGAAAAATTAAAACATCTTTAAATGCTTTATTTTTTAAAGTTTACTGAACAGTTACTTGGTGGTTTATACAAAAACATACATCTCTATGAATGTTTCATAAAGTTAATTACAACATTAACTATTGCTGTGAACTAAAATCTGTATTCTGTAACGGAAAAATATTCTAACTTCTAATATTCTAAGTACAGTTGTAGTGCTCCAGAATACAGTATACTTGTAGTTTCTAAACCAATGAAACCATACATTCCGCAGTGACAAACATTTTAATGTGTGCATTTTTTTCATTAAGTACTATGAAAATAATATTCTCGGGTTCATTTATCTTTTCATTTTAATTTGAAAGAAAAAAAGAAAGCATATGTACCAGAATGAAATAATAGTTATATTGAAAACCCAAATATTTACCTACCTCTAATATAGTATTTCTACATTTTTCTTTTTATAAATATGGAACTATAGTACTTTAAAAATAATTTCAACTTAAAGTAAATTACGTTTGTCCCTCCAGAAGATAAAATGTCATGGCTTTTCAAATGTTTCACTGGGTGGTCTGGTCACAATTTAATAGGTAAAGGATGTCTGTTATGTTTCTTTGATAGATGATAACAATGCATTTAATCCACCCAAAAAATGGCACAATAAAAATCACAGTTATAAAGATGACAGAAAATTGCAAAACTGGCTAAATTTTAACCTGCAAAAATGAAGAGAATGTTACTAAAATAACAAATAAACCTATGTAAGAACATGCCATTGTTCCATACATTTATTATATAATCCAGACATCAAAGAATTCTACTACTCACTGTTATTTAACAAACAAATCAATTTAGATATACAATAAAAATAAGTTTTTGAAATGTATTTCAGCTAGTTTGTTACACATAAACAAAAATACTTCACGGCACTGCAGACTACAGCTGAAGCAATACGTAAAAATGGAAAACTTTGTCAATAATGATTTCTATTTCCCTGAAATATTCACCCCATACAAGTTAAGAAATATGGCCTCAAGGAGCATAACACTAGGCACATTTATTTTAATAACAAGTCAATTTCATACACAACTGTTAACAGTGACAGATGTTATCATGTTATCAAAGATTAGTACTGGAAAATTAACCAAACCAATTTCTGAAATAAAATATTTTAAATGCTTATAAAAAATTTTTTTTTATAATTTCATACTATCTGATAACAGAACATCCCTAAAAAAATGCACCACAGAAGCAATAGCACTGATATATAAAGCCATGATCATTTTTTACATGCAAAAGCAACACAGGATTTTATCATTCTGCCCTTAGAAACAGGTAAAACATGTATTCCTTGTAAACATTGTAATATTTTCTTCAAGTTTTATATTCAATATATTAATATTCCACCAGTTAAGCTTGTTAACTTAAAACTTCAATTATATGTAACATTGTTACTTGTAACTGCTTATTTCCTATCTCTCATTTTCCATATCTCCAGCAGAAAAAGTATTTCTGGTTGATACCTGTTTCTTCTCATTAGGCTTAGAATTGAATCCTTCATCACTAATGCTAGGTATATAAAAACTCTTTAGTATACAACTATAATTTTTGGCAGCAATTGCAGATGCATTATTCATTTCTGCAAGGTTACTATCAGACAGTGACTTTGACATTAATTTTCTTTTATTAATATTTTTACTGGTTCCACTTTTAATACCCAGCATGTTATGTGGAACAGATGTGGTACGATAAGCCTTTCTTGTGTTTATCCCACTCCATTTTTTGCTAACTTTCTTATATTCTGAATCCTTCCCTTTGATACAATCCTTAATGTTATTCTTCTCACTTCTGACCATATCTTCAGCTTCTAAGCTAGAAACAGATGGATCATTGGGGGTAAAGGTTTCCACCCTTAGGGTATTTAATACCATTGTGGGAAGGTTTAAGGCTTCTGTATTTCTATAAGCTGGTTCAAGTGTTCCTAGAAAGAATGGAAAACGAACTCGATAACCAAAACACATAACAATAATTAAGCAAAATATAATAAAAATGAAAAGTGCAGCAGGAAGCCAAAGAAATGGAGGAATTTCTAAAAAAAGCATCTTGATGAAACGTCCCACGTAAGTTCCAAGTAACGCAGCAGGGTGAAGCACAAATTTCCAAATGGTTTCTGATAAAGCCATTAAAGGAGTAACTTCCCAAAATGGATCTACCATAATACTCTTGTAGTACTTTTCACACAGATTTTCTTCCACCATAACTCCTGATTTAAACCATGTTTTTATGCTCTGCCACCAATCCATATCATCAGGTGAACATTCCTGGGGCACAGAGCCAGAAGATAAACTAGCATGTTTCTTAGCCAGCTGTATCTTATACAGATTTATCCATTCAATACCAAAACTGAATATGAATATTATGGCCAGCAATCTTAAAATAACCTGAAACCAACTCTTGTACACAAAATTAACTTTAAGCAAAACCAAACCAAAAAAGAATAGTACAGGAATAGTAAATTCTGAGAGCCATATATTTCTATGTAATGATTCCAACCATGATTCTTTGATAACATACTGTTCACTGACAATACTGTTAGAAATCAACTCTGACAAAGTCTGATCAAGTTCATTAATATATTTACCTGGGTAAGCTACAAAAAGATCAAAAGCCTCAATATCTTTTGGAGATAAACTTAAACTTATCTGAATGTCTGTGCTATTTTTCAATTTCAAATCAAAAGGCTTAAGTTTGTAGACAAATTTTTTCACTAAGCGTCTTAAATATACGTGCTCACACTTACAAAATTCCTGGGTATTTTCCAGAAGAGATTTCTTGCAGTTATTTAGATCATTTTGCAAATTATGACAGTTATATAGCTCAACATCACAGTTAATTTTAGCTCGGTCTTCATTCAATTTCACACCACCTTTGTTGTTCATCTGAAAGTCGTCATCTTGAAATTTAGTTTCATCAGTGTTTCTTTTAATTTTATTAATTCTATCATGGTTTATGGTGTTATGATCATAATCAAACATGGCATGTGGATCTACCCACCCATTTTTAACTTGATCTGTGGTGCCAAACCACTTGTACACATCTTCTTTTGAAGGGGTTTTCGCGCGACCAGTAAATTCCCTTTCAGTTTTATCGTCACCGTCGCTGTTCGTATTACTATTAATAGTAGTAACACTTTCGTCTTGTTTATGATTATTTCCATTGGAACAAACAATTTTTACTATAACAATACATGTTATTATGAGTGCTCTAAACATGATTTCTCACGTTTATAACTTGACTTTTTCAATAACAGCTAGAAATCTCACTCACTTTAAATTAAACATTAATAAAGCAACTCACCTAACTTTGTCACACACATAACTAAAACCAAAACGTACATGATTACGCTACCTATGAACGAAAACAATAGTTGATACCTACACATACAAACACATTCAAGTTTTTGTTTTCAAAACATAAATTTATGTATTTTAATATAGATATTTGTGTCTCGTATGTTGATTATTCACCAGTAAAAACGTCATTTTTTAAACTGATTGTCTTCTATGACACACAGAGAGCATCTGAATAAACATCAGATACATTATAAAAATAATAATTATACACGTCTTTCTTGTATTGTCTTCCAGTGGGCCAACGATAAAAATCCAAATCTCTATTTCCTGTCATAAACAGTCATCACTGATAACGTATTGCTAAGCTATGCGAAAAAGTTTACGCTTCATTTGTTTCCTATATTTTATTGTTTTAAAACAAAACAAAAGAAAATGATTTGATAATTATCATGTATTAGTACACAGAGTCAACAATTTCACAAAAAAGTAAACAGATATTAAATTGGTTATCCAAACTATATAATACAAAAAATTACGATCACTAGCATACTGAAAGTAAAATACATAAATCAAATTTAAATGATATTTTTTGACTTTATAAACAGGATATCGAATTTAAAGCAACGAAATCTTGACAAAATATTTAACCTAATTACTTTAAACGATTTTGATTTGGGAGAGTTTATTATTAATACTTGAATGAGTGTTGTTCCGCAAGAGATGAAAAGAAAAACTAACATGTCTAAATGAAAACCTTTTCGAGTATATCTTTCGAGCAGACGCCCTTCATCTGGCAGTAAAGGCCGTGATACAATGGAACACTTGTTACAATGGTGGATGAGTATGTTATATCAAAACGATTTTGGAGTCTCACTACATTGTTACAGTCCATGTCACTACAGCTAGTTGCCATATGTTCTAGCTAACGACCATGCATCTCTACAATAGCCCTATACTATAGTTTCCATTGCAAAAGTCTACATCCCAACTGAAATGTCCTGGACCGTAATAACGCCAAAGCCTGTTGGCATTCACCACTTTTGGTTTACCTCGCCGACCACATTTTATCCGGAAAGTCACGTCTGAGAGACGATCCACTATGTCATATGGACCTTCCCATGGAGAAGACAACTTAGGAGACTTCCCTTTGGTCTTCCTGGGATTATACAACCACACCTTGTCTCCTGGTACAAAGTTGACTTCAGTAGATCTCTTATCATAAGTTAACTTCATCGAATCAGCAGACGTTTTCAAGTTTGAACGCACTTGATGGTGAATATCATCCATCCTTTCTGATAACACTTTCACAAACTCTGACACATTCTCAGGCAACTCTTCATAGGGTGGGCGTTTTGTTTAACAGATCCACTGGCAACCGAAGTTCCCGACCAAACATCAACTTTGCTGGAGTGTATACAATGGTTTCATGCTATGCTGTTCTGTAGGCCATCAACAGTGGAGGGAGTAAGACATCCCGGTCATCTTGACGGCTATTACAAAACTTTGCCAATTCCTGTCCAAGTGTCCAGTTGTACTTTTCTACCATCCCATCAGACTGTGGGTGAAGTGGCGTTGTCCTGGTCTTCCGGATGCCAAACAACTTGCAGCATTCTTGGAACACGGCTGATTCAAAATTACGGCCTTGATCTGAATGCAGTTCATATGGCATACCAAATCTGAAGAAGAAATCACTAATAGCCGTAGTTACAGTCGTAGCTTCCTGATTTGGTATTGCATATGCCTCAGGCCACTTGGTGAAATAATCCATCACCACACAAATGTACTTGTTTCCAGCACGAGTTTGGGGCAGAGGACCAGCAATGTAGACGGCTACTCTTTCCATTGGTGCACCAACTTGATATAACTTCATTGGAGCACGTCCCTTATGCTTGGGTCCTTTTTTAGCACAACATGTACTGCATGTTCTGCACCATTCTTCCAGATCTTGTCTCATACCTATCCAGTA